AATAATCTTTTATATTTCTTACATCAACAAAAGGAGGAAAACACCAATCACCTATCAAATTATACGACAACAAAATTGGATTCTCGTGAAAGCAGTAAAAGGTTAAACAGATTCATGGTTTTTATACAAATAGGCGTCAAAGTAAAACTATTTTTTTTTTTTTTTTAAATAAACTTTATGACTTCAACCTCAGAAAGCCAAGTTATTAAGTTCAACGTAATGAATAAATTCAAAGTGAATAGGTTAAAACTATAAGACTGGAATATTGAATCGATAAACAATTTAATCGCATTAAACTGTCACAAATAGTTTAATAAAAGTTAAACATTTATTCAGTATGCACTTTAAAGTACTTCACAGTTTTTGTTTCGTTCAGATAAAAAAAAAAAATCTTTATTGAAAATGTGTAAGCTTATACTTAATACAATAGATACTGAAGTAAAACCATCAAAATATTCAAAAAGGTTAAGTATATTTCCTCCTTAAATAACAGTTTAAAAGTGTTGAATAAGGCTATTTCACTAAATACTTTATATGGGAATGTACTGTACGTTATTCGCATAAATAATATCATTAACATGCACAAATGACAGCTGGTACATTCAAAATATTAGACTGCCTTCAATTTTGCCAATCGACTCCTTTATAAAGGATTTTTATAAAGGACTCCTTTATAAAGGTAACCAACCACATTATTATTCTTATACAGATTAATGTTGTCATGAGAAATTCGCTGTATTACTGCCATTGTTATTACCAATACCTTGACCCAGCATGCATACTATACTATAATTAATTAACCAAGTTAATAGTCATAACTGAATATTTAGTAGCACTATTTCACCACTATGTATAACAGTTGACAATTGCTAATGCCTCCATTGAAACTTTCTAAATATTTCATGAAATTGACCTCAATTAGCTAAAATTTTTTCCAAGTACACTTTAACTGATAAAACATCTGAACAGTAGTAGTTACAATCTGAATTCTTTTCCCACTGGCAAAAAATTGTGCATTGTGTCTTTCTAGATGTCTAAAATAAATACATATTAATAATCCTCAGAAAATCCCTAGCCAGGTGTTTATTTCATAGTGGGCATGCTTTGAACGCTTTTGTGTGGTAAACAATGAACTTCATTTTAAAAGTATGAAATGTTACTTTTTTTAAAATTTACTTTATTTCCTTCCCTCAACTAACAGAATTCTCAAACAAAAGAGAAATTTCCCTGCTTCAAGGAATTCTGCCACGGGGGGGGGGGGATTATTTTTTCAATTAAAAATATGAAATCGTAATTTATGAAATAAAGAGCAATTATGATCTAAAGGTATCAAAACTTACAAGCCCACCAGCGGCTGAGCGGTAAAGTCGCTAAACACTGGTAGTACGGTCCGAGGTTCGAATCCCGCGAACGGGCTGGCTGCACGGGTGTTTTCGTGGTTTTCCCCAAGTGTAACTTGTATACAAGCCAGCTTCCCTTAGAAAGTCCGCAACGAAGGCATCCCTTCCCTTAGGCAGATAGCCCTAGTGTGCTTTGCCATAATTAAATGCAACACCAACACCAAAATTTACAAAAAAAAAAAAAAAAAAAAAAAAAAAGAAAAGCATAATATTTATTTCTTTACTTTAGTAAACATTTCTATGAATGTAAGTTGTTTAAGTTGCTTCATTTTTTGTGCTAATACTTTCTCTTTAATTCTATAAACAGATATAATTTTCTTGTTCAGTTACAAAGTTCCACTGTTCAAGTCCTGTAATTGCTGTGTCGAGAATACTGACTAACTTGTCAATTGAAATTTTTTCGTTTTTAATAGCGTTCTCTGTTACATTCTTCACTATCGAAAGCGCACATGGGTAAACGCTTTACTGGCTTCACGCGCACGCGTAGTGGACGCGTGCATTGAACGCGCATGCGTAAGTTTGTGTCTTTGAGGTCCGGATAATGGATGTCAGGTGAAAATAGCAAAAATCGTAATGCAGGTAGTTTCTGGAGTGGTGTTTTACACATGCTGGTTCATAAAGACTGGCCAAGTTTCACAAAGATTTAAGAATATTCGCTCAGGCAATCAAATTCCTGCACAGTACAAAAACCGTAATCCGGACTCGTAGGGACTTAGACGATTCCGGATTAGGTTTTTTTTCCGGATTATAGATCATCAATTTAAATCTGGTAAGATGGCATGCAAAAAATATACAATTAAAATTATGAAACCGTAATTTATGAAATAAAGAGCAATTATGATCTAAAGGGTATCAAAATTTACGAAAAAGAAAGCTTAATATTTATTTGTTTAGTTTAGTAAACATTTCTATCAATGCAAGTTGTTTCGTTTTTTTTGTATTAATACTTTCTCTTTAATTCTATAAATAGACATAATTTCTTGTTCAGTTACAAAGTTCCACTGTTCAAGCCCTGTAATTGGTGTGTGGAGAATAGCGACTAACTTGTCAATCAAAATTTTTTCGTATTAAATAAACGTTCCATGCTACTTTCTTCACTATCGGAAGCACGCATATGTAACACTTTACTGGCTTTAAGCGCATGCGTAAGTTTGTGGCTTTGAGGTCCGGATTATAGATCATTCCGGATAATGGACGTCCAGTTTAGAGACTTTGCACTGTATTAGTCTGTATAAACGGTACCTTAGAGCTAATGTCTCTTTCAGTCTTCAGGCATCATGCTGCATGTTAAAATTCAGAAATATTCAAGAAACACAATTAGGTGTTTATCATGTTTCAAATTAGCAAAGCTTTTGAACAAAAAGAAATTATTTTAAGTAAATTAACAAGGTTTGGATTTCAGCATTTATGCTTATTTACAAACATAAACATGTAACAGTTCTTGCTTTTGCTCTGTATTCGAGGAAGCATATTCCTTGGATGTACAAACTGTAAACTTTTCTACACTTTTTCAGGTAATAAATAAAGCTTTTTCTTCAGGTTTTCAATTTTTTCTCAGTTCAGTATTTTTACAATAATGTAAAAATAATGTGCTAATTTGAAAATATAGAACTAGGAATTTTTCTTGACTCTTAACCTATACAGTTTCTGTATGGTAATGGTAACAAACATGGAAAAGTTTAAAAAAAAAAAAAAAAAAAATCTGAAATGTTTCAGATTTTAAATTACGTCCAAAGGGGCGTTTTTTAACATTTTGTGTGTTACCTTTCTTTATTAAATATCATGTTCCTCGCACTTAAACCATAAGATCCAGTGCAACAGCAATATCGCAAAATAGTTTTAAAATGAGCATATCTTTAGAATTTCCGATACAGAGACTCACGCGCTGGAGATAAAAATGTTTTTTCTGCACAACGTTGCCATTGCTCGCTTTGAAATCCTTGAGTTTGTTAATAAAAAATTCGTCAAAGTTTAAAAAATAGGAAATCGATCATAAAAACAAATTTCAAATTTCAAATTTGGTCTTCCACATGCTCATATTCGTTGGAGGATTACGTTATTCAAAATTCGATGACTCTATGTACCGTTGTTTTTATCACAATACAATGAGAAAATAGTATAATTACACAATACATTTATGCAGATTTTTCACTATTTAATTTCTTCAAATATAATGCAGGACTCTAACATTTTGTGGCAACAGTTTGAAAAGTGAACCGACATTTATGAGTCCGACGCAAAATGCCAAAACGAAACTAATAGTCCTTCGCGATTCAAATCCCTTTGGACTAAAAACTAGGGCTTTCAGCTCTCAAACTATTGGGATTAGAGAAAAATATAGTTAATTCTTTCTATTACATGGGCACTGAGCCCTCACAATTAAATTCGGGGAAGGGGGCAGAATACAAATCAAACCTCTCTACAGTATCATGTAATTAATTCATTGGAAATTTAGATCATTAGATATGTTAAGTTTTTCGAAATGCAAATCACAACATTTATTCATAAGGCATTTGGTATGATTTGAGGTACATTACGGTATTACCAGAGTACAAAGCATTTATCTTTTCTGCCACAACATACTTCAAGAGTAATATCAACATGGAAGTTACATGTATGGAATTATTTGCCCTTCGTTTTTACTTATCACCTTACCACCTCTGTGGGTCATAAGTTCTGCGACTAGGTATAGCCATACAAGCTCTGGTGCTGGTACGTTAATAAGAAATCAGTTATTCCTTATTCAAATAGCTCTAAATGTAATCTTTGGGCTTATGAGTATCATCCACGAGATCTATTTTTATCATATGGAAAGAAAATTTTGTTAAATGTTTCTTCATCAACATTTTTTAGCACATTTAACTTAAATCTGTAATCATCGCCAAGCATGATGTCAACATAAAGGTTAACATACTCCTTTATTATTCAGTTACTAACATAAAAAAAATTTTTAGGCATTGCTACATTACTCAAGTTGTCATGTTTTGATAAACATGCGGTGATAAAAGGAAAGTATAACAAATAATGATTCGCCGGGTTGGCGTCAGATCAACGATGTATGTGGAATGTTTCAGTTTGAGATGTGTGCCAAGCAGATACTCAGCAACAGAGCCAAGTTACTGATCATACAAATTCATGCTAAAATGACTGATTTTTCAATAACAAGGTATTTTATGTATTGTCGAAGTGAAATTAAGAATCGGGACTGCAGATGTTTTACTATGCGCGAAGGGAGGATGAAATGCGCATGCATAAAGCCTATGAGAAAACGTGGTTGGTGGTTTTGAAGTCCAGATTTTGGATCATTCCGGATAATGGATGTCTGGATTTCAAACTGTGTACTGTAATAGACAATAAACAGGCACATATAAGTATAAATGTGTCTGAAACATTTTCACGGACCCAGGAGCAAAAAAAAGAGGTATGTATATATGTATATGAAAGAAATAACACAATTTTTTGATTTTTTACAGATGAAAAGTCAAAAGTTACTTATCAGGTGCAAGTTGGTGGTTTTTTTTTTCACCTTTATTTCAGAGATTCCCAAACTATTGATATTTATTAAAATTTGGTAAAAATTATTAATAGATCAAAAGAAAATGTACTTGGAAAAACAAATTTGAATTACAAAATAAGGATTGCATGATGAATTAAAAAAAATATATCACATTCTTCTTCAAATATGTATGTTATTATTTTGCACTTTTCTCATCCTCAAGTATACAATCTGTTTTTGCATTAAAAAAATTATAGATATGAGTTCATTCAGCACTCGGCTATCAAGGAAAAGCATTTCCTCATTGTTGCATTTATCAACATTCTTTATTCTTGCAGAAATTTTTATCCCAAAATTGTGGTAAAACTGGTCACAAATTCTGCAAGGCCAATATTTTAAAACTAAGCTTAAAGTTCAAAAACATCATGTTTTTTTTATAAAAATTGCTGAACTTTGGAATACAACAAAAAAGAACACACACAAAATGGCAGAAGTGATTCATTGAAGGATTATAATAAGCATGTTTGCTCGAAGAATGGTTATGCAAATTGTTGCCAGATTTTGGCATATATTGAAAATATTACAATTTGTATTAAGGAGGCTGCATTAACACATATGTACCCCTCCCGCCCGAAAAAAAAAAAAAAAAAAACTTTATCAAAAAATTTTGATTTTATTCAAAGACACTACAAGCTGCATAGTGGCATCAAGAACATAGACCAAAATTAATGTTTTAAAACGAATGATACCAAACACATAAGCTTGCAAAAATCTAAATTCTAAGAAATCTCAACATTAAAAAGGGAGTTCCCAAAGCTAATGACGATGAAAAAAATACTTAAAACCTACAGCACTAGAGATACCACAAAAGACTATATTTCATACTTTGTACTATTTTAGAAAAATGTAATGAAAAGTGGATTACAGTGCAAAATGTGAATGCATATTCAATTTTAATTGAATGGTTGAATTTTAGATTCAATTGAAAAAATGTTCAAGCTTTCAAACAATTTATGACATTACCAGAATGAGAGGAATGCGACATCAATAAAATTTCCTTATTCAAAACACTATAATCAGTGTTTAACTTTTCATTGTTTGAATATGTTGTTTTAAAACTCTCATTACTAATTAAATATTAAGGATAAGAAAATGTTCCTTTAAATCAGAAGCACTTTAAAACGACTTGTGATTTATCTCGCAAACATCAGGTTTTTCTCTTCTGGAAACAATTAAATGATTTATTAAGAACTGGGGTGAAATGACAAATTAAACACACCCCATACAAAGACATTTCTTCATAGCATAGACAAGTCCTTAGCACATATAAGCAAAGGTTCGTATCCATCTAACAAAAGTTATCTTTGTGGAAAACACAAAAAAAAAAAAAAAAAAAAAAAAAAAACATTAGTCTTCTTATTAGGTGTAGACATGAGATTCAATTTTTCTATCATCCAAGTGATTTGTTACACATGTAACTTATGACGTTTTTCTCTGGTGTGAATAAGTATATGCTTTTTTAAATTAGATTTTTGAGTAAATGACTTCTTATAGACCTCAGAAACATAACAATTGTCATGTGTGAATATGTATATGGTAGTTTAAACTACATTTATAAGAAAATATTACATACATCACATAGGAGGTTTCTCTCCAGTGTGAATAAGTATATGGTTGTTTAAACTACGTTTGCAAGCAAATGACTTATTACATACATCACACACATGATATTTCTCTCCTGTGTGAATAACTATATGGTTCTTTAAATTATGTTTGTGAAAAAATGACTTATTACATATGCCACACACATGAGGTTTCTTTCCTGTGTGAATAAGTATATGTTCCTTTAAATGACCTTTTTGAGTAAATGACTTGTTACATACCTCACACACATGAGGTTTCTCTCCTGTGTGAATAAGTATATGTTTCTTTAAACTAAGTTTGTAAGCAAATGACTTATTACATATCTCACAAACATAAGGTTTTTCTCCTGTGTGAATAACAATATGACGGTTTAAATTAACTTTTAGAGTAAATGACTTATTACATAACTCACACACATGAGGTTTCTTTCCTGTGTGAATAAGTATATGTTCATTTAAATGAACTTTTTGAGTAAATGACTTCTTACAAACCTTACACACATGAGGTTTCTCTCCTGTGTGAATAAGTATATGGTCCTTTAAACTGCGCATGTAAGCAAATGACTTATTACATACATCACACACATAAGGTTTCTCTCCTGTGTGAGTAAGTATATGGTTCTTTAAACTACAATTGTGAGTAAAGGCCTTATTACATACATCACACACATGAGGTTTCTTTCCTGTGTGAATACGTATATGTTCATTTAAATGACCTCTTTGAGTAAATGATTTGTTGCATACCTCACACACATGAGGTTTTTCTCCTGTGTGAATAAGTATATGGTTGTTTAAACTAAGTTTGTAAGCAAATGACTTATTACATATCTCGCACACATGAGATTTCTCTCCTGTGTGAAGAAGCACATGGTTCGTTAAATGACTTTTTAGAGTAAATGACTTATTACATACCTCACACACATGAGGTTTCTTTCCTGTGTGAATAAGTATATGCTCGTTTAAATGACCTTTGTGGGTAAATGACTTGTTACACAAGACACACACATGACGTTTCTCTCCGTGTTAATACGTATATATGGTTGTTTTTAAACTAGGTTTGTAAGCAAATGACTTATTACATACATCACACACATAAGGCTTCTTTCCCGTGTGAATATGTATATGTTTGTTTAAATGACCTTTATGAGCAAATGACTTGTTACATACCTCACACACATAAGGTTTCTTTCCTGTGTGAATAAGTAAATGTTCATTTAAATGACCTTTTTGAGTAAATGGCTTGTTACATACCTCACACACATAAGGTTTCTCTCCTGTGTGACTAAGCATATGTTTCTTTAAACTTAGTTTGTAAGCAAAAGACTTATTACAAACATCACACACATAAGGTTTCTCTCCTGTGTGAAGAAGCATATGGTTGTTTAAGTTACCTTTTAGAGTAAATAACTTATTACATATATCACACACATAAGGTTTCTTTCCTGCTTGAATAAGGATATTCATGTTTAAGGTCCTCTTTCATCTAAATGAATTCTCATACCTTACACATGCACTTTTTTTTCCTGTATGCATATGCAGATGCTTGTTAAAGAAACATACTGTCTAAATGAGTTGCTATATACCTCATGCACAAGGTTTCTTTTCTATGTCAATACACATATGTTTGTTAAAATAACTCTTTAGTCTAAATGAGTTGTTACACACTGCATATGTGAGGTTTCTCTTTTGTGTAAATAAGCACATGAATTTTGAAACTAGAGTTATCGGCAAATGATTTATTACATACCGAACATTATGATTAGATCTTATCCTGCATTAAGAAGGAAATGCAGGTTTTATTGAGGCTTCGGCGTAAATATCTACCTCACATATAAGGTTTTTCTGTTGGGTGGGTAGGCATGAGCTGCTTTACGAAGTTTCTTTCTCCGCATGACAATTTCCAATACACGTTGTACTGAAATATATTCGAAAAACTAACAAGGTCTCTTTGGAAATATAATCAAGAATTTATGAATAATTCATTGGCATTCTGGGAGATATTACAATGTCAGGAAAGTAGTTGGCGAATGCATATATGATTTACAACACTAATTTGCATATATGATATAACACTAACAGATAACAAGATATATTTAGTGCGATATGCACATGGCATGATATTCAGGTACAAACACTTCGTGAAAAATAAGTTTATTTCTGGCTAATTATGATATCTCACCTTAGCACTTGTAAAGCTTAGTTCGTTCATTCATTTTTCCAAATTACATATAAAAGAAATGAAATCATTTAAATGTACAAACAATGTTGCTAGGAAAATATTCACGGCCTAAAGAAGAGGAAATAAGGGTCGTTACGATATTTTCCGTGTTGTAGAAAAGTCTATCATTTATTTCTGGTCAATGCTCCTTGCCACCAGCTTTTCGCCTGACGCCAATTTCAAGTGGCAGGTTGTTTACACATTTGCATACCAACTGGCTAGACCAAAGACTTGGCTAGACCAGGTCAGGTCAGGTCATAACATTTCATTCAAGTTCCGTACTAATGAAAGTGCATTACTCGATCTATTTTATCTATCCATTTAAGGCTTTAAGAGTGGTGAAGTGTATATCCAAAAAGGCGTATATGAGTAATGGTAAAAATACTTGATGTAAGAAATATCGAAAAGTACCAGAGGTGGCACCATCTAGGTGCGAGAGAGTGAACTAGAACTGAGTTTAAAAAACATCTAGTTAAATTGTAGTCACGTGGCCTATCCCATGATGTTGATTGGTGAGTCAAGAAGAACTGTAGAATTACATAATTTGCGCATTTTTTAAATAATAAAAGTCTATATACAGGTGCAGTAACATTTTTGTAGAATGAAAAGGAGTAAAATACTTGAGATAAATAAAAGAAACAAATTCTGATGCATAGTAGATAAGTAGTAAATAAAAATCTTGCATATATAGGTGTGTCCTCCTGGACCAATAGGAAATCTTGATTAAAAGTACAAATTCTTGAGTAAATAGATGTAAAAAACAAATGCTTTACATTCAGAGTCCAAATATAAAGCTAAAGTTGATAAAATATATACAATTTAAGCAAATCTACCACTGAACATTATGATGAATGGTGCGCGGTCGTTTATAAGGTTGGTCTATTGTAAAATCATAATTTCCAATATTTTGTATAATAGCAGAATGATGGGTAGAAAGGTTTTCATAGAATTTATGAACACTTTTGAGTATTTCTTCATCTATAGTATTAATTTTGAGGTCATTGTGAAGTACGATATTGCGAACAAACCATGGAGCTCCAGTAATGATTCTAATAATTTTATTCTGTAAAACTTGTAGTGGTTTTCTATTACTTTTGGCAGCAGCCGCCCAAACTGGGGAGCCATACATCATGACAGGTCTAATTAGTTGAAGATAGATAATGCGCTTGGTTTGAAGGCTAAGTTTAGAATGATGATTAATGATGGAGTAAACGCTTAAGTAAGCTTTTCTGGTATTTTCACAAATACACGAGATATGGTCTTTGAAATTAAGTTTCACATCAAGAGTGATGCCTAGATACTTAACAGTGTTGGCTCTGATAACAGGACTATTATTGATTTGCAGAGGATCACAGACAGGGTTTTTATTGCTTCTTTTAAAGATAATGTTGATACTTTTACTTGGGTTAATTTTAATTTTCCAGTTTTGAAGCCAGTTTTGCATATTATTTACAGCTTGTTGAAGTTTATGCTGAGCATGTTTGGAGTTGATAGAAATAGAAAATATGGCTGTGTCATCAGCGTATTGTGCAATTTCTGTACCAGGATGTTTAGGGAAGTCATTGACATATATTAAATAGAGGAAGGGAGCCAAATTTCCTCCTTGAGGTACCCCCGCCATAATTTTTCTGCGAGTAGAGTATTCATTATTGATTTTAACTTGAAAAAACCTATTGCTCAAATAGCTATAAATAAGATTGATGATTTCAGGAGGAAAATTGTAGTGAATTAATTTGTATATTAATCCAGTATGCCAGACTTTATCAAAAGCCTTTTCAACATCCAGGAATAGAGCAGCAACAGTTTCTTTTTTATTGAAGGCTTCTCCAATCTTTTCCACAATGCGGGAGACCTGATGAATGGTAGAGTATTTTTTACGAAAGCCAAATTGATATGGTGAGAGGATACTATTATCTTGTGCATACTGATATAACCTTTTTTGTATGATTTTTTCGAAAATTTTTGAAATGGAGGGAAGAAGAGAAATAGGTCTATAGCTGGAAGTAAATTTATTTTCTTTTCCAGGTTTTTTGATGACAATGATTGTGGCAATCTTCCAGGTCTGTGGAATATAATTATTGCGAAGGCAAGCATTGAATAAGTTGACAAGATATATGACAGCTTTTTTAGGAAGATTTTTAATTGCATTGTTAGTAATGTTATCATAGCCACAGGCTTTCTTGCTATTGAGAGATTTAATAATTTGATTAACTTCAGTGGGACTGGTAGGTATGTTTGCTTTACTCCTATTGGAATGAATGAAGTTTTTAACTTGCTCTTCAATATTATCATCAGTAGGGTGTGGGATATTATTAATTTTCATAGTTTTCATACAGAGTGATCAGTATGAGAAAGATGTTCAACATAGCTATTCCATCTGTCTTCTTTATGATCATGACAGAGCTTTTGTACCCTATAATATGCTCGTTTATAATTGATGTTATCTCTAGGATTTCTGGTTCTCTGCCAAATTTTTCTGAGCCTATTTTTGTTTTTGATTTCTTCCTTGATATTATGTGGAAGTGAGTAGTCTTGTTTCTCTGCATTTAGGGTAGCTTTATTGATGGCTTCTATAATTTTATTATTAAGTTTTTCAGTGGCTTCTTCTATTAAGTTGTTGGTGGTCATTTTGGTAGTAGCATTAATATTATTATCAAGGATATATTTGAAGTCCACCCAACTGACTTTGGTGGGGTTTGGAGGCATATAGTGAATAAAATTATAAAGTGTGAACATGATAGGATTGTGGTCAGAGTCAAGCTCTTTTAAGTTGATAAGTTCAGGAATTTGCGGAATATTGCAGGTGATAAGAATGTCCAGGACATCTGGGCTATGGTTATGATGAGAACTAATATGGGTAGGATCTGTAGTAGCCAGGATATTGATAGTGGAGTTTTGCATGAGTTTATAAAGTCTGATACCATTACTATTTGTGAATTTAGAGTTCCAAGCAGGATGCTTACAATTTAAATCACCTGCAATGATAGTAGGATATCCAAGGTTACAAATGTATTCAATTTCAGCAGTGTTGAGTATTTTCATAGGAGGTTTGTAAACAGAGACTATAAGATAAGGTGTATGATTATTGCTGTAGGCAAGGGATGCACATGCTTCAATGCTATTGAAATCAGGCAGGAGGAATTCAGTATGTCTAATAGAATTTTTTGCAATTATAGCAGTTCCTCCACCAATATTATGAAGTCTGTCTTTTCTATAAACAGTGTAGTTTGCTATTTTAAATTTTTTATTTGGCTTTAAGTGAGTTTCGTTTAATAACATGAAGTCCAGGTTTTTATTATTGATGAATTGATTTATTTGTAGATGTTGCCTAATAATACCATTGCAGTTGTAAAATGCTATTTTAGAGTAATTGAGTCTATTGCTGTTATTGATCATGATTGATAGAATCGTATATCTTTAGTGCTTCGAAAGCAACCATCATTTTTTCGGTAGTATTAGATGCTTTGCAAAAATCATCATATAATTCGTAAATAGACGACATAAACATTGATAAATTGATTTAGATTCTCTTCCGTGCGTTCACGGGTGCCTGTTGGTCTATTGCATTCATTATTTTTAGGAGTGGGGTTATTATTCTGCTTATTTTGCTGCTTAGTGGTTTTCTTTAAATGCTAATATGTATATGCTTATATTAGCCCATTGGGCTTTAATAAGCTGGTATTGATCTAATCCCCTAAGGACAATCAGAATTGTCAACTATCAGCTAGTTTCCAGCCGGGAAATCGGAGCGGGTAAGGAAAAAGAGGGCCCATCGGCCATAGTGACAAAGTCCCATCATCAAAGTAACTTAACTCTTCACCCCTGAGACAAAGAGTAATAATCACGTGTATGGAGCTATGAAGATGCAAAAGAAATGAAAATACATGAAATGTGCATAGGATACAGTGTTGAACATGTAATAAACAAATGAACAGTGAAGTAATGTAATGTACGCATGAAAATGTGTTGTTTACATATTTGAAAAACGAGTGGGCTAAGTGACAAAATTGTGATCCCTCATTCTGTGAGCCGTAAAAGGCCTCATATTGTAGTCCTCAGGAATGCAGACATAGTTCAGTACAGCATTAAAGTTTCCTTTACTGCAATTCAAGCCTTTGTCAAAGAACTTGCTGTTAAGTTTTTTGCAGATATTTGTCAATATATTCAACTTGTAAATCATCGTGCAGGAGTTTGTTACGGATGTAAAAATGCGCTCCTGTCATGGTGCGTAAGATTGTGTTTTGAGTCACCTGCAATTTGTTGATATCTGAGCTCGTAGCAGTCGCCCAGACAGGGGACGCATAACACATAATTGGTCGTAAAAAATGGAAATATAAATCTGTCTTTTCCTTCTCAGATCTAACTGCGAGCTGCGCCCTAGCAGTACTTGTAATTGTTGAGCAATTCCTCTGGTCTTGTTTGCAATGTAATTGACATGCGTACTCCACGTGAGTCTTCGATTCAAGTGTAAACACCTAAATACTTGGCCTTGTTTTACCATCGGGACACGTTTGGCCGAATAGGTAAAGTGGCTGAACTGAGACCAGTATTTTCTTCCTTCTAACAAGAAGTAGCTGTGATTTAGTCGCATTGATATGGAAATCTTCCTACCTGGAGCACCACTCCTCAATGTCCATAATAATATCCTGCATAACAGAAATTGCCCTGTTAGGCTGAATAGATCTGACCGCTACAGCGGTGTCATCCGCATAGCAGGCCAGCAACTGTATTTCTGTTGAGTTTATCCCGCGGAAAATCAGCCGCATAGAAAAGATAGAGTACTGGGCCAAGACAGGATTCTTTTTTCTTTTTTCTTGGGGGACACGCCTGCAGCGATAGTTTTGTATCCAGAATGACTTCTGCTTGCAGCTAACTGTAAAGTAAACGATTTGCAATATAAGATCTGGTGAGTAAGATCAGTTCTCTAGGCAAATTCATCATTATTCAATTTATTATATTAAAGCCCTCATGCCAGACACGGTCAAATGCTTTGGCCACGTCCAGCATGAGCACTGCAGTACAACT